AATCAACTTCCAAAGAAAGATACAATATGATGCGAGGAAAAATATCTAATTTTTTTTTTTTAGGAGAGTGAGCACACCGCATACTCCTCCTTCAGCTTTTCCAATTCTCAAAGTTTTTACTTTGGCACCCACTCCACTACTAGAATATGTTGGAAGTTAAGTGTTTTAAAAGGATTCAGTAATCTAAATACCCCCCTGAACATTGTCCAAAATGTCTTGCTCGGAACCAGCCAAAGTAACTAAAAATATTTCCTTGGACTCCATTAAAGTTTGGATCAAACTCTTAATGTGTGACTGCTTTGCTTGTCTTAGTGTAAAGCAGATCTTAATATGGAACATGTTAAAGGAACCTCCTGCATTTTCATTCTCCCTTCTTTCTCTTCAGCCTTGCACCTTCTGTGGCTGGGTTTTGTGCTTCATTCGCTTGTGTTTCCCTTGTTCTCTTGGGGCAATGAGAAAGACACAAATTTATGCCACTTAATTTTGGATACTGAGCAGAGGCTCCCAAGCCTGGAGCCTTGTCATGCCAAGGAAGAGCTGGGTGTCTCTGGAGGGCAACTCGATGGATCTAAAGGCTGAGGCCCCTCTCTTTGTCTCTTCTTCTCTGTGAACTAGAGAGGAGCCTATGGAGATGGATTCTCAGCTTGGTCCCTCAGTGCAGGACCTACAGCTGGGCAGGATAAATCTAAGCTCAGGCATGCAACCCCACCCAGTATTCACTGGGAACACTGGATGGACACTCACTCCATTAAACTGCTTCCACCTCATTTTTCCTGTTAAAAAACAAACAAACAAAACAAAACAAAACAAAATAAAACAAAACCAAACAAACAAACAACAACAACAAAAAAAACCAGCTCCCCAAGAGCCTGGCAGGGTCAGGACAGAGCACAAAGTCCCACACATCCAAGCCCTCTTCCAAACCTTATCAAACAAGCATCTCAGTAGTGAATCCACACCTCATTTTCCACAAGAAGGGCAGGAAGACAAAGCAGCTGGCAGGGATGCCAGCTCTGTCCCTCCCCTCCTTGTCCTCAGGTTAAAAAGCATAACATTAAAGCAACTCTCCGTGGTTCCTCCTTGTCCTCTGTTTGCTGAGGGAGGCACCGTGCTCCTGGTGCTGGGCTGTGGTTTCAGGATGTGCCCTTGGTTGAAACCAGTTCTTCCCAAGCATAGCTCAGACTCAACTCCCCTCTCAGTTCTCCCCTCCTCAGGCACTCCAAGCTTGTCACTGGGAAATGAATGGATTTGCTTTCCCTTCCTCTCTAGTTCTTTCCTGCAAGGGAGAAGAACAGCTGCTGCCCTCCCCATCCCCAGGGAGGTCTCCCCACTGCTCCTCCGGCCAGAACATTTATAACTGGATGTGGAAGAGAAAAAAAAATATCTGAGTATATGACAGTGACAAACACTGAGACTAGGGATTTTAAGAACTATATTATCCATTCATTGCACAGACACTGTGGCCAAATTTGCAATATTTACATGATGGAGACATGAAACTGTCTGGTTTTGCCTTTGTAGCTCGGGGAATTATGGGCTGAGGAGCAAGAAGACCTTTACCCAGCTTTACAAATGGCCAGTTTTGGGGGCTTTTGGTTAGAGGAAGGAACCAGTCCTCAGGATTTTATGGAAGCAAAAGGGAAAGACCAAGCTTAAGTGCTACCGAAACCAGACCTCCCGTGTTTAATGGCACTTGGACCTCTCGAGGAAACCACTTGGGTGGATCCCCTGTCCCGTGTGGTTGAGCTGCTCCCTCTGCCAGTGGTTTCAGAGGAAAAGATCATGTATCACACACATAGACAGAGCCTTCTGGAGTCAATAAAGTTAGCTGCTTTTCTTCCCCAAAGTGTTTTGCATTAAACCCATCAGAATTTCCAAGACGGTGGCAGGATGGAGTAGCTGCAGGCACCAGGCTCGAGGGAGAAAGGCAGTAACACCAGTGTGGGTGACACTGAGCTGCTCAGGAGTCACCTTAGCATCAGATTTTATTATGTTTTCTGGCTCGTCTTCTGAATTAGCTGTAATGCCACAGCGTGCAAAACCTATTAATATTTTTGCCTAGATTATTTCAGAAAAGGTACCCTATCTGCAGCTTTATGTCCCAAATATCCCTTCAGTTTGGTAGATCTTTCAAATTAGCTCAAGTTAAAAATATTCTGCCAGAGAGGGACTACAGAAAATATGTGAAATAGTTGTTTTGAAGAGATCAGGTGAAATAAGTGACTAGAAGGCAATTTCCATTTATAGTACTGTGTGTACTGCAGTGGCTGCAGCACTGCCTCTGACAGTGGGATGATTTCAAGTTTAAAAGTGTATTTAGCCTTTTTTTCTCCTATTATGGGACAACAACAACAGCAAAATGACAACACTTTGAGGAGGAGGAGTTGTGGCCAGGCAGTTTTTAGGCAGCATGATGTGAGCATCTGGTTGGGAGGGGGATGAAACCTGCACCTCTGTTACCTGCAGCTGCCTCACATCTTTACTCCTGAAAATTCGGGATTTGTCCCATCAATGCACAGAAATACAGGGAAAGGGCAGCTGGGATTGTGTCAGGCAGGATCTGAGCACTCTGCCTAATGCAACAGGTAAGGCTCACACCTTTGGGGACAGGGTTTCTCTTGCTGCACACCTCTCTCTGCTCCCACAGGTTTTCCTTGCAGTCATCATCAGGTTACACAAACCATTAATTAGGTATTGAAAACGAACCACATTCACAGAAGCCA